GGTGAGAAATAGTGTGATAAGAGAAAAATGTGGTTTGCAGGATGGCGTTGTGACAAGGATTAAGAAAGGAATGCTTCGGTGGTTTGGTCATGTAGAAAGAATGAACGAGGAAAGAGTGACAAAGCAAATTTATGTTGCAGAAGTGAATGACAGGGTCGAGAAGGGACGCCCTAGACGAAGGTTTATCGACCAAATCGGCGACACATTAAAAATGGGCCAGATTAGGAGTACCCTTAACCGACGAGCGTGTATGCGTAGATATATGGATGTAAAAGAGGCGAGAGAGGTGTGTCAGGATCGCGCCAAATGGAAGTCCGTAGTCTCTGCCTACCCCTCTGGGTGACAGGCGTGAGTGTTTATGTATGTATGTATAAATAAGCCACCATATTTGCTGACATTATGCTTTTACATAAAATTGAAAATACCAATAAGCACAAAAATACTGGATAATAAAGTTATCGTTAGAGATGAAGACAGCAAATGTGAAAAAAGGGTATTCAGAGTAAATCAAAATAACTCTTGTAATATAGCGATTAAAGCCGAAGTAAATAATAATCAGTAGATAAAAAAAAATGGAAATAAAGGTAAATCAATAATATTTAAAAATCAACTAAAATAAACTACGGCATATAATCTCGGAGGTACTATACTGGCTAGATTTATTATAAAAAAAGGAAATGGATCGGTTTAATAACAGTAATCAGCTGAAAAAATATCTTTCTTGAAAACCTGTACGAAGAAATAATTAAATAATTGTCTAAATTTTCTAAAACCAAGGAGAGCTGACAAAGATTATATACCTGTAGATTTAATCATAAAGGAAATTGAATTGATTCAATTTGACTGTCAGAAGCTAAGTATATTTAACTTATTTTATTTTGTTATTTAAAGGCCAATTCTGGCGTACAAATTTCAATAAAAAGATCAGTAAATATATAAGACAGTTATTATAATAATAATTTTTTGATTTCAAACATAATACTCATTTATAAAGGAAAATATTTCTGCTGCGTCGTTGTCAACTGTCAAAGCATAACGACTATATACAATTTTTATCAATATGGAATAAATCCAGGGAAGTAATGTGATAACATTTCATTAATAGAGTAAAATGCTTTTATTTACGCCGTAAATGATTGTGTTTCAGGGAAAGATGCGGGGTACAGCACATTTCAAGTCAATATAAAGCTATGTAATATAAAGACTTTTGAGTGCTGTAGAGATCTGTTTAGATCTCTTAATGAATATCTCCGCTCCCCTACATTCACAGCCGGATTTCCTACAGTGTCAAAATTGTACCGACGGTAGGCTGTTTAAAGGTACATATTAAACGATGCCACAGTAAAAGTATTGCGGCTTCACAGCCTACCGTAGGAATTCATAACTCTATTAGTAATTCCTCTAATGATACAAATATGTTCCTTTTTTTCGGAGCAAATTTACAATTATCATCGTAATGTACCAGTGGTTAAAATAATTCTTAAAAGTGCGAGGATGCAGCTTGTTAACAAAATTTGGTGGTATTGGTGTGAGAAATCATTCTTGCGTTGCATTGCCTGCTTTCCTTGCTTCCGTGCATAGTGTCAGTGACTTATGTAACATAATTTTAAATAATAAAGTAGACCTGCGCTTTGCTACGGAGGCAGAGCAGACATGGCAAACGCTATGTTCCGGTGAAAATGTTCCACTGGAAGTTAACCAACAAAAACAGTGGGATATTCCGTTGGTACAGAACGTGCAGAAAGATTTGTTACATAATTTCCATAGTGACCAAGATAAGGCACACCTTCTAGCTGTTTCGACTAAGGAATCTAGTCACTGGTTACACGCTTTACCATCAAGTATTCTCGGCACATTACTTGATAGGGAAAGCTTGAGCATCGCCGTAGGAATCCGATTAGGAGCGGCGATTTGTCAACCCAATTAGTGCCATCAAGTTTGGGCTTCACGGACTTTCATGTAAGAAAAGTGCTGGTAGGTTTTCACGGCACGGTTCTTTGAACGATCTCATCCGAAGGGCTCTTGTCTCTATAAATGTTCACTATTAGAAAACATGGCAAGAGACCCGACGGTATCACATTGTCCCTTGGGAGAGAGGTAAAGCCCTAGTATGAGGTGCTACTTGCGTAGACACTCTGGCGGCCTCTCATCGCAGGGGTACCTCGCTTAGAGCCGGGGCGGCATCAGAGGCAGCTGAACTGAGTAAGTGGCACAAGTGAGTCTCTGAGAGATGATTACATATTTGTGCCATTTACTGTAGAGACTATCGGTCCGTGGGGTCCACGTGCGGTGAAGTTCCTAAAGAAACTCCAACCGGGGCTGGTCGTCCCTGCTGGTGATAAGAGGGCTGGTTCTTTTATCGCTCAAAGGCTGAGTATAGCCATTCAGCGGGGAAACGCAGCCAGTGTTCTTGGCACGATACCGCGGGGAGTAGGACTGTATGATAATTAAGTTACTAGTTTTAGTTTCTTTATTATAGTTTTTGATATTGTTTATAATAGAATTAAATCATTTTTACCCATTCAAATCAATGAAAATCCCGATGAATTCGTACAGAAGTATGATAAAGATGAAGTTTATTTTAAAGGTTCAAAAACTTACGATGGTTATTTAGCTTATAAAATTAAAATATGCACCTTATTGTGTTCACAGCCATGATAGTGATAATTATAATTACTGCAATACTTTGGTGATAGTGATTACATAATGTAAGATAAGGTATAATTCAAAAGTGCAATATGTACTTCGTTCTGTTTTGTACGGAGAGAAATAACTTATCCCAAATGTTTTTACTAACTAAAGGTAGAAAACGCTAGATGTGTGATTGTTTGTTTTACTTAATGTGTGTAGGTATTGTTAATTTTTATGTTTATTACACTTTAATTTTCGTGAATTGGTACTCAAGTGCATATCTTTAGTGCTTTTATTTACTGGAAATTTCTCACCTATTTCATCCTTAAAATATTACCAGTTGTGTGCCATACAAATGTATTATAAGATTAAAAAAATAAACTCTTAAATAAATAATAATTGCACTAATAAAAGTTGTAATGTTCACTTTCTTTTACTTTCCATATCATACCTACAATTATGTCTAAACAATAGCCTGTCATAATCGTCAGCAGCACTTCCGCAGTGCGATACTTTTGTGTCTCGTATATAATTTACGTGAATACAGTAAGTTTTTGATTGCCATAAACCATAATAGCAATTAATTATACTGTCTAAAATCTTAGCCTAAGGATTGGTCTCCAATCCATAAATTGGTCACCCATCCTTTAAATCTATAATGTTAATTATGCTAAGTTCATTACTATGGTACCTTTACCTTTTGTATTACAGCCTTAACGTATATTATGGTTAAAAATTTGAATTATTTTAAGCTATTACACTGATCGTGATTGATGTGCTGTTACTCGCTGAGGAGTTCCACCCTTCATCTTCAAACTATGAATCAGATCTCTATGGAATTAACATGAGATCAATTTGACAATAAAATCTTCGTAAAGGAAAAAAAAACATTTGTTGAAATCGGTTCAGTTTTGATAAAGTATCATCGAAAAACTTTCATCCCCCATCCCATAGATCCATGTAACCATAGAATATTGCAGCAACGGCTTAATACCAGTTATAAAAGTTTTTTTTTATAGGATAGGGTGACAAATGAGCACACAGTCCACCTGATGGTAAGTGGTAAGTGTGACCCATAGACATCTACATCTATCCTCAATAAAGACTCAAGATGCAGATGCTTTGCCACCCGTGAGGACTAAGATGGAATGCCTCTTTGTAAAAAGGGTCTCCGGTTCTCTACACTCACCATACGAAACACAACAGCGTAAAGCTGCTATTTTACGCTGGTTTTCTGTGAGAGCGTTGACCTTCCCTGGTCGAGCCGACCCATTCGCGCTACAACTTTACTACTAATATAGCTGCAGCATGGCTCTACCACGTAAAAGTTTGAAGAAACCTCTTTAACTAACCTAATAACGGTCCAACCACGAAAACGCAAGGTGCGCTGCCGTGGTGGTGCCTTAAATGTTTAGAGCCACTGGACTTTATGTGGGGTAGTTCACATATGTATCAATGCTCTTTGTAGAGGTGTATATACGAATGAAAAGTAACTTCAAACCTTCTCTCGAAAGTAAAAAGGACCCTTTTTACTGTTGCCGTGTTTCATATGGTAAGTGTAGAGAATCGGAGACCATTTTTACTGGAAAAGAGGCATTCTATCTTAGTTCTCACGGCTGACAACGCATCTGCATTTTGATTCGTAATCGAGGATAAATGAAGATGTCTATGGGCCACAGCAACCACTTACCATCAGGTGGACTGTGTGCTCGTTTGTCACCCTTATCCTATAAAAAAAGATATGTCAAATGTAAAATGATTGTATTTACGCAACGCAAAGTCATTTTATTAAGATGAGTAACAAAATAATTAGAATATGAATTTCAATAATTAGGTATCATGAGTTGGTTGCAAATTTGAAAAGATTTTTTAAAAATAATTTTTAAATATGTATCGTATCAGCTAATCAGGAAATATGTCGGATTTAACCCAAAGTACCTTACACAGATTTTTATTATCTTCAGTTGATATTAGTAAGATGCTGCGGCCCATCTCTTGTTTCGGTTTCCGTCTGTCGCCTCTCACTACACCCACAAATACATTAATATATATGTATACGTATATATATATATATATATATATACATATATATATATATATATATATATATATATATATATACTACATAAATATTTTGTTTAAGAAGAATAAAAGTAAACAAGTTATTTATTGGTAACTATTGCCCAAGAACAACCAACTAAACCAGCAAATAACTACAAACCACCAATAGTGCATTGTTATTATAACTCTGAGAATTAGTTCTTTTAAACTTCTAACTGTGGATGTAGGTACTGCTGTTCGTCAGAAATATATTTAAGATGTATGTATAGCCAGCTAACATATTTATAATAATTAATTAGTGAACTTACCCAATTCCTAAGATTTTATTATCTTTGCTTACAACACAAGCTCCAACTTGGCAGCTAGGGTCTTTACTTCGTTTTGCCGCCAAAAATGCTGTTGCCATAAAATATTCCTTCCAGTCAATAGGATCCTCGCGTTTCCTTTGTATTGTGACTCTAGAATGAATTATTAACAAAATAATATTTTAAAGTATAAAATTAAAAAAAGTATAAAAATATTTTAAAGTATAAAAATATTCATATAAAACCTACTGATATTATAATATACTTTATTTGTTTTGTTTCAAAACTGTATTATATAAACTTAAGGAGTAATGTATTAAAAACTTATATCTGAGAATATTTACCAACGACAAAAGTAAAATACCTCCAAAAATAACTCACTCATTAATGTTTGTGGTTTTATCATCGTGTTCCATAATTGAATTTTGATGGCCCAGTTGCGAACGAAGAAATGCTTTTGTTACAAAAACTGCATTTCTTCTATATTTATAGAACCACAGATATAGAATTATCACTACACTCCGCTGCACTCTTATCTAAGAATACATCAAGTAATAAGTAGTTCATTATCATATGTATGTAATTACTCTAAATGATATGAATGATATTGTCAACTACCCTATTAGCCCTATTTTAATCATATGTATGTTATTCCTGTAAGGTTTTCTTTCTTTTATATAATATTATGTGTATGAAAAGAGAGTATACCTTTTTCATTCACTCATCACGACCTATCAAAGTCTACTACTGAACATAGGCCCCTTTATGGATTGTCTCATAAGATGTACTTGCCATAGTAGTCACGCTCGACAACTGGGCTGGCAAACGCAATTTTTTTCACGTAGTGGCTAAATATACCATTCAGTTGCGATATTACAGACAGAGCCACGGGTTCGAATCCCGCACGGAACATGTGTTTGTACCACAAAAGTTTATTCCGATTCTACAACGTAGATGTTGGTCCATGTACAATTAAAGTATGTAAAACGATGCCACGATATAGGACGATACTGTAGGGGTAACGTTTTTTTTATGAGAAAAATTCTGTAAAGTTAATATTACTGACCGTTAGGCTATATTAAGTTATCATATAATATTAATGTAACTGTAACGACATAAAAGGGACTGCAGGTACTGCCGTATGTTATGTTATTGGAGCTATTGCTATGTTATAGATACTATTTACCTACTTTATATTATAAGTCATATATAATTTATATTGTTTATTTGCTTATAAGCTAAACTCATCATCATCATCATTAAAGCCCTTCACAAGTCCACTGCTGAACATAGGCCTCCCCCAAAGAATGCCACAAAGCACGGTCCTGAGCCATCCATCGATTTCCTGCATATCTTACCAGGTCGTCACTCCATATAGTGGGGGGACGCCCTACACTTCGCCTGCCGGTTCGAGGCTGCCACTCGAGAACCTTTCTTCCCCATGGGTTGTCGGTTCTTCGAGCTATATGGCCGGCCCATTGCCACTTCAGCTTACTAATCCGTTGGGCTATGTCGTTCACTCTGGTTCTACTGCGGATATCCTCATTTCTGAGTTTATCACGCAGAGAAACTCCGAGCATAGCCCTTTCCATAGCTCGCTGAGCGACCTTGAGTTTCCTCATCCGGCCAGCAGTGAAGGACCACGTCTCAGTTCCGTATGTCATCACTAGCAACACGCACTGGGTGTACAGTCTCGTTTTAAAGTTTTGAGGTATACCTGACGAGAAGATGTGCCGTAATTTTCCGAACGCTGCCCAACCGAGTTGAATCCGTCGATTGACCTCTCGGTCGAAGTTGGACTTACCTAGTCGGACTATTTGTCCCAGGTAAACATACTCGTCAACAACTTCGAGCTTAGTGTTCCCAACAACTACCGGCATAGGTGTGACATGGACATTAAACATGATCTTTGTTTTGTCCATGTTCATTTTAAGACCTATCCGTTGGGAAACACTATTGAGGTCATTGAGAATAGTGCTTAGGTCCTCCAGCGATTCTACCATAAGGACTATATCGTCGGTAAATCGAATGTGAGTGATGTACTCGCCATTGATGTTGATACCGTATCCTTTCCAGTCCAGAAGCTTGAAAACATCTTCCAATGCAGCGGTAAAGAGTTTCGGGGATATGACGTCACCCTGTCTTACACCTCTCTGAAATTGGATAGGTTTCGTACTCTGGTTCTGTACTCGGATAGCCATCGTAGCCCTACTGTACAAGCACTTCAACAATTCGATATACCGACAGTCAACTTGGCATCGCTGAAGGGACTGCAGCACCGCCCAAATTTCGACGGAATCAAAGGCTTTCTCATAGTCCACATACGCAAGACATAGCGGCAAATTGTACTCCTCGGACTTCTGTACAATTTGCCGAAGGGTATGTATGTGGTCTATGGTGCTAAAGCCTTTTTGGAAACCGGCTTGTTCGGGGGGCTGGAAGTCGTCAAGTCTGCGCGCGAGACGATTCGTAATGACTCTCGAAAACAGCACGTAGACGCGGCTCAGAAGGGAAATCGGTCTGTAGTTCTTCAAGAGAGCGTTGTCGCCTTTCTTGAAGAACAAGACCACCGCACTTCTGCTCCACGCCTCCGGTGTAATGCCACCACGGAGGACGGAATTAAAGAGCTTCTGAAGGACTTCAAGTACCGGTCTTCCACCCGCTTTCAGAAGCTCCGCTGTAATTCCATCCTCTCCTGGGGCCTTGCCGTTTTTAAGGTGCTCGAGACCCTTTCTAATCTCGCTCAGACTGACGTCCGGGATATCTTCGGAATAGTGTCGGATAAGTTTCGCTCTTGGATCGTTACTCACATTTGCGTGTGGCTCCAACGATGAGGTGTACAGCTCCCCATAGAACCTCTCGATCTCACTCAAAATCTCAGGTGCCCCGGAAACGATGCTGCCACACTCGGTCTTCAGCTTTGACAGTTGGCTTCTTTTGGTAGACAGATCTCTGGCAAAGACTTTAGAGCCTTGGTTCCGCTCGATCGCTTCTTCAATACGAGCTGTATTGAAGTTGCGTAAGTCCCGCCGCATGCATTTGGAGATCTGTCTGTTCAGTTGCCTGTATGCTGTCAAATCTGTTGAAGAATGTAGCTTCATCTCCCGTCTAACAGCCATGAGATTATGAGTGTGATCGGAGAGTTTTTGTGTTCTTCTGCGGCGGGTCTTGCAGAACTTAGCTCCGACCGCATGGACAGTTTCCACGAGCTTGTCATTCAAATCATCCACTTCATTGCAGTCTTCTAGGCACTGAAAACGGTTTTGTAACACGAGCTGAAAGGTTTCGGGACTTTGGATTAGAGCACGAGGGGGACTGAGCGTTGACTTCATTAGACGAGACCTCTTCAACTTAACGTTTAGGTTCAGTGTGCCTCTAACCATTCGGTGATCGCTGCCGGTTTTCACCCTCGCGATCACTGAGACATCACTGAACAGTTGTCGTCTGGTCGTCATAATGAAGTCAATCTCATTTTTTGTCGAACCGTCGGGGCTCGACCAGGTCCACTTCCTGTGGGGCCGCTTCTGGAAGAAAGAGTTCATCATAAAGAGTCCCTCTTTCACCATGAAGTCGGCCAGCTGCTGGCCCCTTGGGTTCCGTTGCCCTATTCCAAATTTCCCCACCTTCAGCTCACCGTTCTCTCTTGTGCCTAGTTTTGCATTGACGTCTCCCATTAACACCGTATATTGGGTTTTGGAGGAATGCATGGCTCTAGAGATATCCTCATACATTTCCTCCACCTCCTGATCGGGGTGTGCCGAGGTTGGTGCGTAAACCTGTATTACCTTCAGCGAATACCGTTTGGTGATTCTGAGTATAAGGTACGCAACCCTCGTCGACACACTCTCAATCTTTACAACGTTGTTAACGAGAGACTTGTGGACGATAAATCCGACACCTCCTTGGGACAGATGGTCGCCCTCCCGGTAATAGAGCAAGTTGCCGGATTCGAGGATTACCGTGTCCTCCCCCTCTCTTCGGACTTCGGATAATCCTATAATATGCCAGCGTAACTTGTCTATCTCTTCTTCCAGCTCCACAATCTTCTCGTCAGTCCTCAGGGTGCGTGCGTTGTATGTTGCCAGGTCGAGTCGTCGTAGGTGGCAACCGAACCTCCACCGGAGATTCTTAGCACCCCCTGCCCCGCCGTTACCATGGTCGCCACCGTAGGCAGGAATAGCGGGGCCACCGGGGACTGGGGGCCGTCTCTTCGTAACTTTCATCATGGGGGGTATATTGCCATAGTTGCCACGCTTGGCGAGCGAGTTGGCAACCGCAGTTTTTTATTGTAACTCATTAGATTGTTATGTTTAAATGTTAATGTTTGTTGTTCCAAAGTTTACTATTCCTAATTGTATCTTAGAATAAATTAAAGATAACACAAACTAGAATAATATTGTTCCCTAATTTTTACCCCTACCTCCTAGCTTCCTACACTATTTAAACCAACTCCTTCGCTCCCTCAAGACAGTTCAATTCAAGTTATCTGTATAAAGTTCTACATCTTAAGTTAATTTTAAAGTATTAAATGTTAGTGGGTTACTATTACGGCCTGACAAAGATGAAGAAGAGGCCTAGCTCTTAGAGCTGCCACGCAATTAAAATAAAAGTTAATTATATATGTCGCTAGCGCTTAAAATAATGGATACCAAATAATATAATTATTTAATTTATATAAATAATAAAATAAAACTTATAATAATAGATACGAAAGCTCTAGAATATGGCCAGCGCATCGTTAACTGCAACTCCATGTCTAAATCGCCTTTGAATCTATTCGAAAATCCAATTCAGAAGATTTACGAAACAAAGCATCCTTCAAGCGGTTCATTTATAAAGGAAAATGTCTTCCGTGCTCATTGTGATGCAACGTCGAATTTAAAATTTATTCGATTTTCTCAACGATACACCATCCTGTTCCCGGGGATAAAGGAGGTGTTATTTTTTATGATTATTTCTTTTATTTTATTGTTTGACAAAATGGCGGTTCTCTGCGGGCAGATGGCGGGAAAGCGGCAAACTTCCGTTGTTTAATACAAGCTTGTGGGATAATTCTGCTTATATCTGTTTGGCGAATTTCTCTACGCTTCCGTGTATAATATCTGTGGTCAACGTGTTTGGTTGTGTTGTATTATTTTCTTACTTGTTTTGATTTATATCCGACCCCGTTTTTTATATTTTAGGTATTTCAGTAGAAATTGCATTGAGAATAGCAATTTAAGTAAAATTAAACTTATACATACATTTCAAATTTAAATAAATATTTGATAGTAATACAAACAATCATGTAACCATATTACTTAAAATTCATTTTATAAATATTATTCAGAACTAGTGTCCCGCCTCGGCTTCGTTTGGGCCAGAACTTATTTATGTGGATTTATAAAGATTTAAGATAGTCATCGAAGACTCTTTA